CCGACAGCAACGCAATAATGACGGTGGTGTGAGAAGTGAAAAACTTTCTGTTTTTGCCCAAATTGCATAACCCTTTGGTGAACGAATCAGAGGTGAGTCGTTTGACAAAATGAAACTAGAGGTAGCACATTGGTTTGTACTTAACAATTGTAACGAGACAATTACCTATCTAGATGAGCATGAAGAGTTGATGAAGCGGGAACATCCTTCACATTCATATGCCAAAAAGCATCATGAATTGTTTCCTCAATGGTTTCGTGAAAATGTAAGTTGTTCGTGTTTTGGGTTATTTGCATAATTGTAAATGTTAAACTAGCACGACAACTTTTTCTCATTTATTTAGGTGAATTCACGAATAACTTACATTTACAATTATGCAAATATGCAACTTGGTTGTTAGGCCCCTAAGCGCAGAATTGTACTCCGATTGTCATGTAAATGGCATCAATTTTTTGGTAGCTAAGCGTGATGACAAGCTTTGTACACAAAATAGTGGGGTACATGTCTCGAGTACAGGCGACATTGCAGACATTGGTTTCTATGGAAAACTGGCAAGTGTTGTACAATTGCTTTATAAAGATTGGTGTCAAATTATCCTGTTTAAGTGTCGTTGGTTTGATACAAACCCACATAGGGTTGGAGGTGTTTAGTGAGACGATGGTTTGCTATCGGTCAACACTAACATATGTTGGTATAACAATGACCCTTACATTTTGGCGACGATGGCCAAATAAATTTTCTATATAGATGACCCTAAGGGCGCGAGGGGATGGAAGTAGTTCAGAAGATTTACCACAGAGGTCTATATGATATTTCCAACCGAGATCCTAATGCCGATGATGATTATGGTGACGTTGTTGACCAACAACTGGAGACTTCAATAGAACTTGGTGCAGATATACTACGGGATATGACTATTGTACAAGAACCATATCAGGTAGCCGGAGGTCCTGAAATTGAAATACCAATCGACTCATTATGATTAACCTCGGGGATCTACTGTGATACAATGCACCCGAGCGCGCGAACAATGATGTTGACGTGCCTACAGACGAAGAGGAATGGGAGTATGAATCTAACGATAGTGACGATATTTATTCTAGTTCAGACGAGGATTAATGAAAAATTGTGATGTAAATGTAATGATATCTATTGAATGGTATTTATTTTGTATACAAACAAAAGTTTCCTTTAACATTTGTAACAAAATTAATTAAAAATATTATTTATTTATTTAAACCAAAAAATAAATTAAATTTCCACATATGCACGACGACGTTTTATAAATGTTTGTCGCACAAATATTTAAAAATTCTTTTTTTAAACTATGGGTCCATGAAAGTTTAAACACCCTCATTGCGCAAACATGTAAAAATTTGATTGTTTTGCCAAAATTGGGCACCTTTTTATTTCAACGCCTTAACTCTCTCTCTCTCTCTCTCTCTCTCTCTCTCTCTCTCTATCTTAGACGCACTCAATCTCTCTCTCGATTCTGTCTGAACTCAAGCTCCCCTCTCTCTCTATTCTCTCACTCTCTTCTCTCCCTCACTCGCACTCTTTCTATCTTAGACTCACTATCTCAAGCTCCTCTCTCCTCTCTCGCACTCTCTCTATTTCTCTGTCTCTCTGTCACTCTCCCTATCGCATCTGCCGCACTCCTATGCCACACCCTATCGCTGCCGCCGCAACATTACTAGGTAAGCACCCAGTCTTCCTTAATTCATCTCCCTTAATTCAATTATTTATAAGTGCAATTTTCATTGATTTTTCTGTTGAATTGTTCTAATTACAACATTTAGGGATTTAAGGTTGGAATTGGGAATCCTGGGTAAGGGATTTAGGGTTGGAATTAGGACTCCTGGGTTATGGATTTAGAGTTCGAATTGGGGATCTAGGGTTATTGATTAATTTATTAATTAGTTTTGATTATAAATATGTATTTCTTTTTTGTTTCTAGATAATGAAAAATGTGTTTTACCGGGACAAAATCTTTTATTAGGACAGTTAGAAATTTGAAAGGATGAAAACACGAAACCCCCAACTTCATGAAAGCGCGCTCCTTGAACTCTCCAAGGTCTAATCTTTTTTCTCTCATTGTTTCTGAATAATTCGGTTCCTCTAAGTTTGATTAATCATTTTTAGCATGTTGGGTTTTTGTTTTTTTTTTGTTTTAGGGTTTATGGGGTTGAAGATTTGACGATAAAGTTTGGGTTTAGGGTTTGTGATTTGGGTTCTATTGAGTTTTGTTTTGTTTTAGCATCATTTCGTTGTTCTGTAATTATGTTTATTTGCTGAGAAAATCAAGGCAATTAGGGTAATGAGATGATTATTTTTGCGTGATATGTCTTTCGTGAGAAGAGGGGTTGCTTGTTCTTTTCTTATTATCAGAGTTGAGACTTCAAATTAGCATCTTTGTAGTCACAGCATGCATGTGGTACCCACCTTACTATAATTGTTCCTAAGGTAGGATCAAAATTGGATCTTGATGCATTTGTTTATGTTTCCGGTATGTCTCTATATCGATTATGTTTAACCAATTTTTGTGTTAGATGGAGTTTTGAACCTTTTCAGTTATTGGTTATGGAGAAGGTGTGTAGCTGCAATTTGTTTTATGTGTCTGGGTTTAAAATGGTGCAGTCGTTGTTTAGAGTATAAATCTTTACGTCGAGACTGCAAAGCCGTACACATAATTTTACATCACGTATCCAAGCACATAATCTAAGTGTCAAGCCCCAACAGCTACATGTGCTCTCATGTCATCCCATGTATGTGTTGTTCGCGCGCTTAGCTCCCTGTGTTTAGCTCAAGTTACTCTACACTACACATGAGGGTATTGTTGAGTGTGTTTATACACAATTGGAATGTGAAGTCTCTTATAGGAATATATTAATGATCTTGTGCCTCTCCACTCATTGTCAATTGGTCCTTGGTTGGGTGCTCTAACTTTATCAGTGGTATAGGAATGAAAGTGATATAACATACTAAATAGGCTGCATAATTTCTTAATTTGCTTTATTAGTTTGAAGTTTTCATTGACTACATTAGTAAAAGTTGCATATTAGATCTAGAAAGAAGTCAGTTCTTTCCATAAGAGCCTGACGATGCCTTCAAGCACTTACAAATACTATTTTGACCTAATTTGCTCTTTTATTTTTAAAGCTATAAGAAAAGAAAAAATGCCTTCATGCGATACAATGCTAAATTTGCCACCCCTATGTGAGCTATGCATATGTGTTCTTCATTGAGGAAATAAGTTCTTAGTCCTTACTGCAAAAAATGATGTGAGCAGTTAGTTACACTTCCAAAATAAAATGCTAACACATTATCTACTGCATTTTTCATTGTCAATGTCAGGATACTCTGGATTATATTTTTGTTCCTCAATCTTATAATCACATACACATAAATAAAATAAAAGTCAGAGTCTTTCTCTGAGATTTTTACCTTCATTTCTGAGTTACTTCTTCCGTATGTACAATATCATCAATCCAACTACGGATTCTAACTACTAAAACCTCACTAAAATCTCACTAATTTTCACCATGCAAAATCTAACTACTACCTATTATTGATTTGATAATATGTTGGTTTTGACTTTGTAATGGCATGCATTTGATAATTAGTTGGAATTAATTTCATCATCTCATTTTAAGAATGCAAAACCTTGCTATAAGTTCTCATTTTATTTGTTTGCTGGGAATTGAGCTCCGTATTTAACTTTGTCATGTCATCCCATTCGCTCAAACATTGAGCTACTATATCACACATTCTACCCTCATTCACATTTGCATTACACATGGACATGGATGCAACAAGTTTTGTAACTATCATGGTACCAGTTGCTGTCAGTTTGTTCAAGTTTTGTAACTGTCTTCCATTCATAATTTGTACAAGTTTTGTAACTTAGGAATGTATTTGGAACTCTGTTTACGATTTCATTTATTTATTTCTAACTGTCAATGTTAAGATATGTTTTAGTATATCCAAACCATATTAAAGTAGTGAAATGTAACTTTTTAATTAATTGTTTTTGTAGATGTGGAACTTAATATCAAACCGACGGCCAGCTAGTAGGGGCAGTCAGATACCTTCTCCAGGAGGTAGTGCGATTGCCACCTCCACACCTGATGTGACCACGACGGCTGTCCCTCAAGTCATGCCTTTGGGGTCAACGGTGTATATGGCTCTTGCGTCATCAACTTCTTCGGTGATGCATCCTATACTAAGCGCCCAACAAACTCATCGACGGCCCTGGAGTTCTGAAGAGGCCCAGCAATCTGGTGAGGCTTCCTTTGTCCATGAAAAAGGGTCCCATACAGGTAAGCTTGCTCTATACATTTATAAGCTTGCTTCTAGTTTCATCTTTATTCATAGCCATAATGCTATGTTCCTTACAAATATACGAGTGCCACATGTGGTTTCTAATATTTTCTCAAGTTTTGGCTTGCAAATTGACTGTAAACAATAATTCAGAATAGTCTCCATTAATGGATACAAATGTTTTCCAGTCTTAAGCTACCTTGCAACTAGAGTATTTGTATTAGTTTGAACTGTTTGTCCCATGCGCGCGCACACACACACACACATGTATAACCATTTTTCCAACTAATTTTACTGAGAAAAATTAGTGTGGATTTTATTGGGTTGAACATTTTGATATGCAGCTGCAAAAGATTGTTATATTCTTTTGAATATGCTAAGCTAAATAGCAATCAACCTACTTTACATCTTTCTTTGTCAACGAGATGATCCCTTTTCTGCAGAGAATAACATGCATGCTTGCTAGTTAATTTGAATTGTGATTTTGACCTATATTAATTATTGTTAAGTAGCACTGAGTAAATTGTATATCAACAAGTTGTAAATTTTGTTTTAACGTCTCCAATTGGTATAAACTGTTTGAATTGTTAGGTAGATGTGTTGTTTTTGTTGTTATATTATCTGGAGGTTTTAGGAAATGTTATAGTTTTATGGGAGGTTCTGCCAAATTTTCGGTAGAAACCAGAATTCGTCTAATGTTTACTTTGTTTATTTGGTAGGTCAAAAAAAACCAAGGGCCCTTGTAGGCTACAAAAGACTTCTCAGACCACTCGTGCCACGACTGAGAAGATCATCATTACATGGGATCCTCGACATTGTGCGACTGCAACAAAGGAGCAGCACATTGCGTTGGGCACCGACTTTGGCTCGATTATCAGGAACCATTGCCCCCTTATATGGAAGTCATGGAGACCTGTCCCATAAGGAGTCAAGGAAGTAGTTCTTCATGAATTATCGGTAAGTATTTTCAACCTCAAATACTAAATTTTTATTAAAGTATACAAAGATTATAAATTTTAACTACTATTTATTTGTTGAGTATGAGTTTTCCAACCTCAATGCCAATCAAATGCAGTACATCAACAACCTTTGCTCTGGTAGGTTCACTCAATAGAAGAGTAACCTCTACAAGCATTATGAGCTATATGAAGATCCGAAGGTCACTCTAGAAGTTGGGTGCCCTATAGAGTTGGTGGACTATCAAGATGAATGGAAGTGGCTATGCGGCCATTTTCAAGATGAGAAATGTCACATCCCGGCCTGGGCACCCATCACATCTCGGGCCTCGCCTCCGCCGTAGCACGATATTGTCCGCTTTGGGCCCTGACCACAACCTCACGGTTTTGTTTCTGGGAACTCACACGAGAACTTCCCAGTGGGTCACCCATCATGGGATTGCACTTGCACGAACTCGCTTAACTTCAGAGTTCCGATGGAACCTGAAGCCAGTGAGCTCCCAAAAAGCCTTGTGCTAGGTAAAGATGGGAATATATACATATAAAGCTTACAAGATCCACTCCCCTGGGCGATGTGGGATGTTACAATCCACCCCCTTAGGGGCCCAACGTTCTCGTCGGCACACATCCGGCCAGGGATTGGCTCAGATACCAAATTGTCACATCCTGGCCCAGGCACCCATCACATCTCGGGCCCCGCCTCTGCCGTAACACGATATTGTCCTCTTTGGGCCTCAACCACGCTCTCACGGTTTTGTTTCTGGGAACTCACACGAGAACTTCCCAGTGGGTCACCCATCATGGGATTGCTCTCGCGCGAACTCGCTTAACTTCGGAGTTTCGATGCAACCTGAAGCCAGTGAGCTCCCAAAAAGCCTCGTCCTAGGTAGAGATGGGAATATACATATAAGGCTTACAAGATCCACTCCCTTGGACGATGTGGGATGTTACAAGAAATACCTAGTACGTATAATATATATTTCAATAATATATTAATAAAAAAAATTTACAATTTTCAATAAAATTTTCATTTTTTCATTCATTTGTTATAAATATCTAAACTAATATGTTTTTTTAATTCTGAAAAAAAAAAGTGAAGGCAAACTCGATCAATTGGTCAAAAAAGAAACTTCTTCACCGATTTGGCTCACAATGCTTCTCTTATAGGTTGGAGGAGCAATATAAGGCAACCGTATATTTATTTTAAGTTTTTAATCTTTTTACTCTTGATTACACAATTGGTAATCTATGTTAACACTTTTTAAATTTTTTTCAGGGGGGGTCAAAGTTTCCAGAAATTGACATGTTCAAGGAGATGTATGTTCGGCCCAGGGATGAGCTGACGGAGCAGCTTCATGTAAGTTATTTCAATTTTTTAATATTAAATTAGTATTAATATTAATTACATGTATATTCAAATTAAATTGTTTATTTCATTTTTCTAGTCCACCATGGTGGAGAAGGGCCAGACTGTTCTGGAGGAGATTGTGTCCTAATTCCCGTAGAGACCCCGATCGAGGAGGTGTTTCCCCTTGAGGACGCTGGTTTTCAAATCATGACAGACACACTCAATCGGACCCTTAATCGTCGACCTAGGAATGTTCACCGGGGGCTTGGGAAAACCCGCCTTCGAGACCTGTCTGCCTCATCTTCCAAGCAGAGAACTGTCAAAATGTTAACATCTGAAGTGGCAAACCTAAAGCAGTGGATTACCGCCCAGCAGTCTCAGATTGCAGCCCAAAACAATTTGATGAACCAGATTTGTCAGGCACTTCAAATCTCTAGCATTCACTTCCCCGACATTGAACCACCTCTAAAACGACCTTTCAGCCGCCCACCACACCAATTACAACCTCCCAGCCCCCCAACGCAGCAACAACACCACCAGCAGGCAAGTGTGATGTGAGTTATTGCCAGCAACAACATTTTGTGTGTTGATAAATATATTTTTTATATTTTTCAAATTTTTTTTTAATTTTTTTTTATGAGGTGAGTTATTGGCAACCATGACACGACGACTTAGATGGAGGCATGCTGGCCGTCACGTGGGAGTGACGTAACCATGTGCACAGTACGGAAGCAATAAAAATATAACGGAATTTCGAAGGAATAAAAACCAAACTACTAGCATAACTAGCTAAGATACAGTGCTAGTGCGAGATTAAGGGTGAAATACACAACCAGAGCATAAATATTCTAGATGCAGTCAAGCAGGACAAGTGCTAATTATACAACACCCAAGGGTGATCCGACATTTATGATGTTCTGTCAAAACCCCCGTTGAAATCCTCGTGATCCTCCAAAGCACTTCTACCTAAAACCTGGATGGGCGCAAAACAAAAAGTGTGACTGGGTAAAAACAAAGATTTTCAAAATCATTTCATTTCTCAAAATTCTAACCCCTTGCCGTAAAACCTGTATAATTGCCCAGAAAATAATAATAATAATAAGCTGTGTCAGAAATCATACTCAAGATGAAAATCCATAGAAGTATACCATGTTAAAGTATCTCAATGTAATGCTATCAGTAATCCAGGCAAAATATATCAATGTCAAATATCGCATCAGCCAAATCCCTCTAACTCAATCTGCACGGCTGTGTATATAGCTCATAACCAATCTCAATCATACCAAATCAAATCCTGCACACGAGTCGGAACCACCTAAAGTTGTTTGTAGCACAAGATTAGGTGTAAAGTAAATATGCTCTAGTGCTACGATCACGTGAAGGTTGTGCAAATAATCGCGGGTCACCTACAAGTCGAAACCACCTAAAGTGGTATGTACGACAAACCTGTGCACCTAACTTGGATCCAAGGTAAGCATATGGTGCGGGAGGTGAACATCACGTGAAGGACTGTGCCCTAACTCTGGGTGGGAGCATTAAAACCGGGGTGCAGGTTTATGAGCTCTCAATACATCACATCATATCTCACATAACTGAAGTAACCTCAAATCTTTAATTTATGAACTTACCTGGCACTTACATGTGCGTCCACAGCACCAATCATAATTATATGCAACTACTAATGCATAAATAAAATAGGCAGATACTTTGCATGGCATTTCAAAACGTATAATCATTCAAATTCATTTTCTGGGAAAAAATCTCAAGTATATAGGTATATACGGAAAACCAAAAGGCCACTCACTGATATGTTGAAAGGTCATAGCCCCATTGCCTCGATTGATGGCCCTCGTCCTCAGGATGATATGCAAAATAACTAAATAAACGTTATTTAAAGCACATACACAAAACTAGGATATAACTTCTCATACATTGCTCAAATGGGGTATTTGAATGTACCACCATGATCTACTCAACCTCAGGAACATCGCCACATTTTTAGAAAATTTTTCCAGAAGCGCCCCCACGCGCGGCCAAACCCTAACTGAAACTTAATTGCCATTAGGAATAAACGTTATTTAAAGCACATACACAAAACTAGGATATAACTTCTCATACATTGCTCAAATGGGGTATTTGAATATACCACGATGATCTACTCAACCTCAGGAACATCCCCAAATTTTTAGAAAAATTTTCCGACCACCCACACGCCGGCCAAGGCACGGTGTTATCTGATGCCGTTAGAGTATTCCGTCAGACTTGATGGAATATTCCCCTTCGTCTTCCTTAGATCGCCGGAGATCGTCACCAGCGTCGGTTTTTGGAAAAATAATCAAACCTTCATATCTTCTTCGATTTTCAACCAAAATTCATGAAATCTATACCAAATTAAAGCTTAGGATGAGAGGAACAAAACCTTACCACTCTGGGGACCTAAGACAAATGGAATCTCACCGGAGAAACTTTGATAATCCGGCCAAACTTGAAACTTATCAAACTCAACTTTCTGACATCCAAAACACTTCGTTTTTCTTCTCCGAACTTCGCGAAGATGTCCTAAAGCTCACTAGCATCTTAAAATCTCCTAAAAACTTTGAAATCACGAGTGCATGAACAGTAACCCAAAACTGGGTTCTCGGGTTCTCGGGAAAATGAGGTCTTCATGCCCAAATAATAGTATCAATGGGTTCTTGGGCTCACAAGGAACTTGAATATGGTCTCCATTGGTTCGATCTACAGACGGAAGTAAAGGTTCAAGGTTTGTCCGTACAATTGTACGGACATGGAAGAAAATACAAGAGGAATGAGAGAGAGTCAACAGGATAAGGTGAGGGTATGTATGTGTGTGGTCCAGTTTGCAGTCAATCAACCAAAACCATAGGCCTTTTGTTCTAATTGGTCCAAATAATAAGGAATAGAACCTATTGGTCCAAAACCTTAGTTTATACACACACACAACTCAATAATAAAAAGGGTATAATAGAAATTTCCACGCTCTCGAGGATAAATAATATGTACGTTCGGGACGGGCTGTCACAACCTATCCCCCTTAAGAAACTTTCGTCCTCGAAATTTACACAATAAATGCAACCCACTAATAATCATAAAACAAGCACGGATACATCTCTTTCATACGCTCCTCCGTCTCCCAAGTGGCTTCCTCCACCGAGTGATTTCTCCACGAAACCTTCACTAGGTGTACTGTCTTATTTCTCAGAACTTTATCCTTCCAATCCAAAATAGTCACTGACTCCTCATCATAAGTCAAATCTGAATTAATTTCCAGAGGTTATGGAGGTATCACATAAGAAGGATTTGAAACATAATGACGCAACATAGAGACATGAAAAACATCGTGCACTTTGGATAACTCTAAAGGCAACTCAAGTCTGTAAGCAACCTCACCGACTCGCTCGATGATCATATATGGTCCAATGTACCTAGGACTCAGCTTGCCTTTCTTTCTAAACCGCACAACACCTTTCCATGGTGATAGCTTCAGAAATACCCAATCACCTACATTATACATCCGATCAGTGGCATGTCGGTCTGCTAGACTCTTCTGTCGATCCTGGGCCGCTTTCAAGTTAGACTTAATCACCTGAATATTATGTGTAGTCTCCTCCACTATCTCAGGACCTACCAAAACTCTTTCACCAACTTCTGACCAACATAAGGGTGTTCGACAAGATTTACCATAAAGAACCTCGAAATGTGACATACCAATACTGGAATGGAAGCTGTTGTTGTAGGAAAATTCCATTAAATCCAACTGCTTATGCCAAGCGTCACCAAACTGCAACACTGAAGATCTCAACATATCTTCCAACATCTGAATAGTCATCTCTGATTGTCCATCTGTTTAAGGATGATATATTGTACTATAAAATAATCTCGAACCAAGAGCTTCTTGGAATGCTATCCAAAATTTGGAAGTAAATCTAGGATCACGATATGAGATAATACTAATTGGGACTCCATGGTCCTTCACAATCTTCGATACAAATAATTCAGCTAATCGGTTTAAAGAATAATTGTCCCTCACAGGAATAAAATGTGCTGACTTAGTATGCAGATTAACTATCACCCAAACGCCATCATCCCATTCTATGTACGAGGAAGCTTGTACACAAAATCCATAGTAATATTTTCCCATTTCCACTGTGGAACGGGAAGTGGCTGCATCAATCCAAAAGGTTTCTTTCTTTCTGCTTTGACTTGCTGACAAATGACATACCTACTCACATATTCAGCAATTTCTCTTTTCATACCCAGCCAATAATAAAATGGTCGAATGGTACGATACATTTTAGTACCTCCTGGATGCATTGCATAAGCTGAAATATGTGCTTCATCAAGAATTGCCTTCTTTAATTCCATATTATTTGGCACATACATTCTACTCTCCTACATAAGCATGCCATCAGTTTCTCGAATTCTGAAGTCTTTCTTCTTCCCCCGATTCCTTGCTTGAATTATTTCCTGGGTCTCTTCATCATCCCTCTGGGCTACGAGCACACAATCAATTAAAATTGGCCAGACTTGAAAATTTGCAAGTAAAGCTTCCTCCCGATATTCCACTCCTAACTCCACTCCAGTGGACCTCAAATCCGCGAGAAGAGGAACATGATAATCATTGATGGCATTAAGTCTAACTGGAGTCTTCCTACTAAGTGCATCTGCCACTACATTTGCACGACCAGGGTGATACTCAATCGTGCAATCATAATCACTAAGCAACTCAATCCACCTCCGCTGCCGAAGATTAAGATCCCTTTGAGTAAAAACATACTGAAGACTCTTATGATATGTGAAGATCTTACATTTCTCACCATAAAGATAATGTCTTCAAATCTTCAAAGCAAAGATGATAGCTGCTAACTCCAGATCATGAGTAGGGTAATTTTTCTTATAAGGCTTCAATTGTCGTGAAGCATAAGCAATCAGCCTACCATGATGTATCAACACACAACCTAGACCATTTAAGGAAGCATCACTGTAGACATCAAAATTACCACTATCATCTGGGAGTGCCAAAATAGGTGCATGAGTGAGATAATACTTTAATTGCTAAAAACTTTGCTCACAATTATCATCCCACTCAAACTTAACTTCTTTTCTAGTCAACCTTGTTAATGGCAAAGTAATGACTGAAAAATCCCTAACAAACCGTCTATAATAGCCTGCTAGGCTAAGAAAACTCTGTACCTCAGTGACGGTTCGACATTGCTCCCAATTCTCCATAGTTGCCACATTTTGAGAATCCACTTGAATACCTTGAGTAGAAATGAATGTCCCAAAAATGCCACTTGATTCAACCAAAATTGACATTTGCTAAACTTAGCATACAATTGATGTTCCCTTAATTTCTTCAACACACAAGTAAGATGTCGAACATGCTCTGCTTTAGACTTAGAGTATACCAAAATGTCATCAATAAAAACAATGACAAACCTGTCTATAAATGGCTGGAATACTCGATTCATCAAATCCATGAAAGCTGCTGGTGCATTCGTTCATCCGAATGGCATCACTAGAAACTCATAATGACCATAACGAGTTCTGAAAGCAGTCTTAGGGACATCCTCACTGCTGATCTTCAATT